TAATGTCTTTTTAGAAGTTTTTTTGTCCAAATTATTTGTCATTTTAGATTTTCAATGAAGCATTAATTGTATTATTTTCGATTTTACCCTTAATCACTCCTAATTAATTAATTGAGAATCAATTAAATGTCGAGGATATTTTAGTAATTGTATTTGTTTTTTTACTATAATCTATGCACATTTATTGATTTTCTTAATATTTGCAAAACAACCCAAAACGACATTTAAATTGGGACAGAGGGAGTATCGTAAAGGTTTCAACCTTCCTTTGAACTTGGCAAGATTTGTTCAATAATTAAATTATAAAACTTCTCAATATTCCTCCCCTCAAAAAAAGAAAAAAACACTTTTGGGGAATGTAGAAGCTAGTTACTAGTTCCAAAACCAAAATATAAATACCCTAAAGCTATTTATTTGTCAAGCCATAAATTTATTGCATTGCTGATTTGCTTCACAAGCACATAGTTCACAACATATAACAACCCCTTCAATACATGTGAGGAATTCAAGTGACAAAATCAGGTCACAAATATTAAAAAAAAAAATGTATGTTATTATTTTCACATATATATATATGTGTATATATATGTTAATAATTATTGAAACTCGAAGTACTGAGCTCGCTACCGCCAAGCTTATTGTTCCATCTCCTTTGTGCTTCAATGAAGCTAAGGCTTAGATGAGGTCCCATCGATACGCTTGTTCCACTTTCATCTTCATTCATCATTGAATTCATCCTGAACCATTACAAAAAAACATTTTTTGCAAGTTTATAATTTATTAGGATCCGATCGAAACAATAAATTATTATATAATTCAAATGAAGAAGTTTAATTATCTAATTAAATTTAGAAATACATTTGATATTTACCCGTTATCGTTCCTATTGATGGACTGATCAGTTACGGAAGTTGTATCCTCCATCTCGACTGCTACTGTTTCCTGCAACTATATACCAATTTAACTGATAATTTTATGAATATATTTACTACGGCTGGTATTGGATGATTAGATCATATTGAAAGTAGCATTTTTTGGAAAATATAATTTTTTTATTTTATTTTGTGAAAGTGAAAAATTAATTCAAAAAATATTTGGAAAACAAAATTAGATATTGAAATTTATCAAGGATTAGAATGAAATAACTTAGTCCAAAATCTGGGCATTTCTCGGGTCATCAATCATCATAGGCAGAATTCAAAATTTAAAATCGGACTAATTGTATTTTAAATATAATTCTGATTTTGATCCAATTTTTCTTTTTTCCTTATTCCTTTTTTTTTAGAAAAGCCAAAAAAACTGGAAATCACTTCAACAAATAATATTTATAGTGATAACATAGATTAAATTACCTCAATATTTTCGGTGGTTTCATGAACAAGCTGGTTTCCTAGCAGTTTGGCCTACAAAGATGTAAGAATTAGTAGAAATGCCTTGCATGCATGAATTCAACGATATAAATAGCACAACAAAATGAAGTGAAAAAAAATAATTGTGAACTATATATATCAGGGTTCTCTTTACAATTTACATGTTTGTTTGGGCATCAAATTTTAGTAATAAAACAAATGACAAATAAATGCTTCTTTTTTCTTCTATTACAAGAAATTCATTTCATTGAAATTATTAATTGTGCTCCTTAGTTATAAACAATTCTTAGGTAAATAAATATTATCGTGACATCAATTACAATTATATATCAGCACATATATAAGTAATGTTTTTTTTTTTTTTTTTTGAGTAAATTCAAGTCCATTACAAGGGGAAATAGGGGTGGGGGGGGACTCGAACCCTAGACCGTTACCCTAGTGGTAAAGGCTAGGTACCAACTCTCCTAATGAGGGTTGGTAAGTAATGTTATGAAATACTAATTTTGCGAACCACTGCCAACCAACCATATAGGTGCACTGGGTAAACCTACACTTCGTATAATATTTTGCAAAATCATACGAGAAACGTAAACCATACTAAATTAACCATATGTAACAATCTCGACCTAGCGCGCACATACATATATATGTATAGTTGTGTATAAATTTACGATAAAGACAGAAAAACGCACCTTTGACAATTGTATACGCTGAATTGCGCTTGTAAGATACTGCTGGAAGACTCCAGCTTCAAGAATTGAACTGATTTTGTCTACATCAGGTTCATAATACCTGTCAAAATAAAATTAAATTAAAGGAAAGAAATAGCGAAAATAAATTTATTTTCTCTGTAGTTTTTTGTTTTTCATAAATTTGTAATAACGAAACAAATAATAAAAAGATAATTAACCTCATTTTCTCCTGCGACTCACGTTGTTTTCTATTGAGTTTATCCAACTTTTCTTCAAGATCCTGAACTCAATGAATTTTTAACATAAATCAAACGTTCAATGTAAACGGTTTTGCTAATAATATACATTAAAAAATATCCTGGAATTCATAATTACTGTATCGTAAAAATACTCGGTAGAATATTTATATTTGAATTAATATAATTTAATCGAGACTATAGATGAAAAATAAAATCGAGTGTTACCTCTATACTGAAGTAGTTGACCAGCAAACGAGAGAGCACACGGATTTTTTTACATGTGTAACAAACAAAAACGTTATTAATTAGAACTGTAGCAATAAACAATACCACGATATATAATAGCTCGTCAATTCGGAAAGACAAACGCCCACTCGGTTTATTCTGTGCTATATATCGGTTAATATACACTAGATATATTATTATCATTCACTCGCATACAAAAAATACACACGTCCATATATTTTTTTCGTCTATATTTCTTGCAAAATTACAAAATAAATATATCTCGTATAACGTCTACTAATGCTACACATGATGTCTTTACACGTGTGTATTTTATATGATTGTATGTAAATTTACGATATTTTGTATATATTATTATTGTGTTTCATTCCATATAATTAATATCTGCAAGATTAGAAATGAGGAAAGGGGATTACATGGCTATCTTTTCGAGCATCTGCGCTTCGTACTTCAACTGCTTCAGCCTTCCGGACAAAAACTACACATGCAAATGTAATATATAAGCAAAAATATCTTTTACTTTTTGAATAATTTTTTTTCGAATCCAAATTCATTATTATTGTATGCATGATTGCGTACGAACATACCTCTTCATTATTAATAGGTCTGCATGTCAAGAGAAAAACAATTTTAATTAGTGAAATGGTCAGAAGCAAAATGAAAATAAAATAAAATAATAATAATAATAAAATAAAAATGCTTCATTAAGATTATTTGAATAAAATTGATTTTACTATAAATGTCAGAATGTTTAGATTTTATTCTGAACTTTTTTTGAGTAATTATCATGAATTTGAAATTTGTAGTATATATAGTTAGTTATTTAAAATAAGAAAATCATCAAAAATTCTCGTAAATTCAAATCCTTCAATCCAAATACGATGGAAGCGAAAACGGAATGAGATCATAAACAATTGAAATTAATTAAGCACATACCCTCCTCTCAACTCATCAGGCCTGTCAACAAACCTAAGAAAGATATCCTCAACCCTGCTGAACAAAACATAAAATAAATAAGAAAACTCATTAATTCATAACTCAATTTCATATATTAAATCTTGAAAATAATTTAAAATTTAAAATTTTATCTCCCATTATATTAGTTTTAGGAAATGAAAAAAAAATTTAAAAATAAATAAATATGCCTCCTAGTTTAGGTTTTCGATCGGCTCATAAGCACTTATTTCCTCGACGGTACGATTTTATTTTTTTCATTGATCTTGAATACACACACAAAGTTTACCCAAGATCCAAAATATCATACTACTGAAAAATAAATAATAAATCTATAATTTATATTAAAAAGCAACATATATATATATATATATATATATATATATATATATATATATATATATATATATATATATATATATATATATATATATATATATATATATATATATATATATATATATATATATATATATATATATATATATATATATATATATATATATATATATATATATATATATATATATATATATATATATATATATATATATATATAGAGAGATAGAGAGAGAGATAGATAGAGAGAGAGAGAGAGAGAGAGAGAGAGAGAGAGAGAGAGAGAATGTGAGAGAGTGATAAAGAGAGATAGAGATAAATAAATATATAAATATATATATAAAATAATTAAAAAAATAGAAAAATATATAGTTTTATAAA